GGGGAGAGGAGAGGAAGGAAGGGAGGGAGGGAGGGAGGGTGGGAGAGTGGGTGTACCTGCTGGACCCAGAATGGAGTTCCTGGGAGACTTGATTGTTCATGCTGCCCTCAACTTCATTTTGCAGATTGTAAGCCCATTAGTTCTTCTATTGCCATCTTCTTGGTCACTTTCAGTCTTCTCACTAGTTTGCCATTTACCCAGTGAGAACAAGTGTTTATTCACAAACTTTAAATCATTTAGTGCCCTTTCTGGAATAAGGTGATATGCCAGTTATCCATTTAAGTGATGGCATAACCCAGGCTCCCTGCTCTTTACTTTTCTCAAATAAGCAATATTTCACCCACAGTTCTAGGATCCTCTCTGTAACACCCTTGAAGCTTCAATCTGTCTCTGTTTTGACAGAGGCTATATTTAAGATTGATTCTCTCAAACACTTTGGGCTTCTCAGTTCATTATTGGAAGGATCAGGACACCTGCACCTTTCTCTATAGTTGGTCTTTTATCCCAGGCATCTTTGTAGGTTGTTTAGGGTTTGGTATGTGTGGGGAGGAGAGTAGAACCTGCCAGATCTCCCAATGCTATCCAGGGAAGCAGTGCATCATCTTCACCGCACTCTCTTGGTTAAAACAAGTCATAAGACTGATCCAGACCATAGGGATCGGGAGGTAAACTCCTCTGCTTGATGGAAAGAGTGTCACATAATTCTCAGTTGTGTGTAATCTCCCCTCTCCTCTCACTCTTCATTCCTGCCCCTCAGTGTCCTGATTGTCTGACTCACTTAGAATGCCTTGGGGTTCTGCCTTTCTAGGGGTTGCCATATTTAGCAAATAAAATAAAAGATGAAAAAATGTTCTTTAAAGCATACGGATAGCACGTGCAATGTTTGAGACATACTTATACTAAAAACAAAAGCAAAAATAAAACACTTGGCTGAGTCTCCCAAGGGTTGTGAATGATGATGTCTGGGATAATATTCCTAAAACACCAGGGCTTGTCACTTTCCTTACTGCCTCTTTGTTCTCTGTAAGCCTTCTGTGAGTGCCTTTAATCTAAACTCACAGAGCTTGGAATGTCTCACCCCAAATGTAGATCAGTACACACATAGTTTGTTTTGCATCATATCCATCTGGTATGTTAGTCTCTTAGAGCTTTGATCAAAGCCTGACATTCCAATAGGAAATGAGTATTTTTTTTAATTGATCCTCTGTTTTTTTTTTTTTAACAAAGGATGAATCTTAATTCAACTCTCTTTACCAAAACTATAGGACACAAAGGAATCCTTTCCTTTTTTCAGGAAGGTGCGTATTTTTCCAGTGTTTGAGTTAGATTTTGTAAATTAATTGATTTGAGATTTATACTCATGGGAAATTGCTGTAAATTCCCAGTTATTGTCCCTTAACACACATGCACATGGTTCCCAAGATCTCAAAAAAAATTTTTTTTAATTTTATAATTTGATTCGTGTCTTTCTCCTGGCTTCAGATGACATACATCCTGAGAGCTGCTCCAACACCTCATTACAAAGATACCTTTACCAACAGTGACTCTGAGGAAGCGGTGGCTTCTGTCTTGGGTGCATAGCTGATGTTCTGTGTAGCCATCAGCGGGTATCTGCTGTCTGCATCCTTTCTCCTCTGATTGCCCCTCCCCTGGCTTCACAGGCCTTTTCACGGCTATTCAGGGTGAGGGGTGTGGACCTCAGTCAAGAGGATACCTCCTGAATAACAGTGAGCCCTAAGTCATCCTCCCGACAGTGATCAGCAGTGTAGTTTGCCTCTGAGGGCTCCTTGAAGCCAGCAATGGGCTGGGGGGGTGAGAGGTGTGCGGTGTGTTCTGAAAAGCCCTGGAAAACCCCCTGGGGACTGCTTCTCTTACACATACAGCACAGCATGCTGCTGTCCTTTATGAAAGCCTGGAATCTGGGCCTTTAGAAGGCTGAAAAGAGAAAGAAGGAGGAAGAGAGTGAATAATTCCAGAGACCAGGCAGAGGCCGAGGATGCAAGGATTCCAGCTGAGACCCCCCTCCCCAGTGGCTCCTGCTTTTCAACTCCTTTCAACCATCATTTTTACCCACTCCCCTCCCCTAGTTTACCCCTCGGAGAGACTTTTGTGTTGTTCTGTTCCTTTACCACCCTGCACATTTTGCTCTTTTGTTTTTATTCTCCCCACGCCTACCCCATTGCCCCCTACTGGTTTCCAGATAGAAATCTCACTCATGCATTTCCTTTTTTATTTGAATAGGTTATTTTGTCTGCCCTCTTTTTCTTTTGTCTTCAGTGCCCCCCCTCCCCGCCCACCCCGGCCTTGCTGCCTCTAGTTCCAGAGAGAACCGACCACTGCTGTCCTGCTGGGACAGGATGACAGTGCCCTTAGCATTCCCAGTGCCAGCTCTCCCCACATCTGTGCTGCCTTTGTCTCAGGCAGAGGAGGATTTGGAATGGTCTGCTGGCAGCGTCAGGGAAACTAATGGGAAATGAGGTCCCAGAGTGAGGCCATGGGGAGGTAAAGTGAACAGCAAAGGAACTTTGGACACATTGGTGTGGGGAGCACACTACAGGATGGTATGAAAGGCAAATCAAATGCAGTAGTAATGCAGTGTGGACGATGAGATCGCATCTGCAAGAGCTGAAGGGCCAAGGGAAGAGTCTGTGGACTGAGTCCTGGGCCACAAACATGCAGTTTGCAAAGCTTGAGTCCTGTTGTGGTGTTCATGCTCTCGTTTTGTAAGATCTGTGAGCTTGGCCTCCTTCCAGGTTCTCTGCAGTTGGCCTGAATACTGATGCATATGTCTCTTAATACACTTTTCTTTCCCTTGATTTTCAGACCATTTCTGATATTAGAGTCCTTTGCATTCATGTCTTTCAGTTATGGATCTTGCTCCAAGAAAAATATAATTTGGCCGAGATCCAAAATGTTTTTTTTTAAATGTCACTCTCATTAATTCATTTTTTAAAATGCCATTCTGTTCTAGGCACTATCAAGAAAAACAAGTTACAGAAATCATTATGGCTAACGTTTGTTACACTAGATGTTAAGTACATTCGCATGTTTAGTTTTTACAAACTGTAAATTATCTTATTTACATTGGACAGGTGGTGAAAACCCGAGTATGACAGAGTCTGATTACTTGCCCGAACTCCTGCACATAGACATGACATGGACTCTGCCGTTCATGTTCCCAATTACAACATGGAACACAAGCCACAAGGCAAAGTATCTGCCTGTGTCAATGCTAGGATCTGGGGACACCTGGCAGGGTTCTGGAAGAACACTGAGAATTTCAAGGAAAAAGTTGTCCCCACAGCCCTGATTGAGATTTTACAGTTGTTTCCTGCTATAGGTCAGCTGCAGGCACCGGTAGGATGGAATGTGAACATTTTAGCAAAACTTTGAAGACAAAGAGCCAAGATTTCCTTGTATATTTGGGCAACAAATGTGGTTCTCTGCTGACAATTCAATGATATTCCTCCAAATTCCTTAGAGAAGATGGCATAATAGCCACAGTTAGAATGTAGGTATATATAAAATAAGCCACAGACCAAAATAGTACCTGTTGATATCCACTGAATAATTCAATCTTTATTTTTTCTTGTATTTCTTTATTCTCCTTTCTTTTATAGGTGAGACTCAAATTAATTTTTCTTTGTCTCATGTGCTATTCTTTTGTATACATTTTACCTTCTAGAGAACTTTTATAGCCTTTAGCAGTGGTTTTTGTTTCCCTGGCCACATCCCACCCACCATCCCCAGATCTTAAGCCAAGCTCACTAATTAGCCCAGGCTACTGCTGAAACCCAGCTCTGGGCAAAGCAGTGCAGAGGAACCCAGGAGGGACCCATGGCCTTGTATTAGGACACAGCGGCATCCACTTCCCCTGTGCCTTCCAACGCAAACCCCATCTGACTACCGTGATACGTACCCAGGCCTTTGGAAGCAAGCTTTTAAAACAATGTGAAATGCACCTGTGCTGTCAGAAGCAGCTCCCCATTCCCATGTGGAATATGCTGTTCACCACCTTTCTCTCTTCATTGGCCTTTGACTCAGCTCTACTCACACTGTGCTGTCTTGATTGTCTGTGTTGATGAGAGGTAAAAGAAGGTTGGGATTAATCAAATCAATTGTCCAAGACATTTCCCATTCACTAGGCGGAAGTTTTGTAGATATTAGAGCTCAGTATCTTGCTCCAGAGTCACTGCCTGCTCCTCTTAGTTCTTCCAGCTACAAAGGCTGAAGGGAGAGCTGGGGAAACTGTGAGTGGCACAGGTGTGTCCAGATCATACTGACTCCGAGGTGGCTGCAGTTGTCATGATTCTGATCAGACACTGTGAGGGACAAGGTTCTTTCTTTTTCTTCTTCCTGTTCCCAAACCATGAAACTATTGCTCTTTTAACTCAGTTAAAATGCCAGGGCCCCGAAGTTCTTAGAAGTTTGAACCCCAGATGTCTCTGAACCCACCAAGGAGAAAGTTCAGAAAGCACCCAGTGGCAAGTTAGAACAAAGAAAAGGTTGAAACAAAGTCTCAGATGTATGCATAGCTGTGCAGTCACCAGCCATGATCTGCACATAGCTGCCCGCAAGACTTGGCTCTCCTGTCCATGGAATCCCTTCCAACACAAATGGCTTGAATGTTCACTGATGGTGACAAGAGCTCTTCAGAAGGACCAGTGGGCACTGTGAGCCTTCTGCTCCTGATCTTGTTAAGGGTGTTCTGACAACAAATGGACAGGCCTGGAGTGCTTGGTCTCAGGACGGGCAATTGAGGCAGTAACTGGCTTCCAGTGCAAGTGAACTACAGTGACCCTTCTACATTACTGACCTTCACTAGCTGACCGTTCAGGATTCTGACTTAGTATGAGTGGCTAAATTGTGCAGATAACAGTACATCATTACTCTCCAAACTTGAAGCAGTGCTACAGGATGCAGACACTGCTGTGAGCACATTATATGTACTGACTCTTAAAACAACAACAACCCTGTGAGATAAATACTACTAATCCAACTTTGCAGTCTAACAACAAGGGTTCTGAACAATGAAGTAATTTGCCCAAGATCCAACAGGAGGTAGAAGTAGGATTTTGAACTCAATGGGGCTCAATGAGGCTCATCTCCAGAAATCTCACCCCTAACTACAGCCAGATGCTGCTGTGTACTTGTGTGTGTGTATGCACTCGGTAGAAAGAAGACGGTAATTTGTGTTTGGGTCACAGAACTGAGGAACAAGACTGAGTTAAATATTTACTAGAAGATATATGCTATAGGATGCTCAAGAAACAATTTAAGGAGATCGGATACTCTTGAAAAGCAAATCCATAGTGCAGGATGAAACCAAATATCATGGAATTTCTGAAAAAGGATGGATTTCTTCCATCAAAGATGGTCTTTTTAAAGGACCTTGTCATCATCTGGGCTTTGAAGAATGGATTTAGGTGTGTACTTAGGAAAGTGAAGGTTGTTCTGGGAGTCAGAGATGAGAGTTGGAGACCAAACATTTAGAGCTGAGGAAGACTGAAAAACACCAGATAAATTGTTACCACTTTAGTTTATGGGAAGAAATAAAATGGAATCTTGGCCGTGAAGGAAGAGTAGTTCCAAGGGAAAGACTGTGAATGTCTTTAGATTCTTGCAAGCAGACAGCAGATATGGAAGCTTGGAAATTTGGACAATATAAGACCTTATATTTTCTTAGGAACAATTTCTGCATTCTAATAACATTCCAGGCAGAGACTCTTTAGGAATTCTATTTGTCACATAGGAAGAGAGATTGAGAGTGATGGCAAAAGAAGTGGAGGGGTGGGAGGGAGAGACAGAGACAGAGACAGAGAGAAATGGGAATGATATTGCAAGAGAAGATTCTTCAAATGAACAGCTGATGTGAAAACAAGGTAAAGACAGCAGAGTGAAGACTCTAGATGACCAGTAAGATGTTGAAGGTCTCATGACATCACAGTCATCTTCTTAGGTAATGACATTTGAGGTTAGAGAATTTCTTTGCCTTCTTCTTATGTTATGCATAGGAAGTTAATTTTCAACAGTAATGATCTCCACTGATACAGAGAGAAAATCTTAAGGATCATATTTCTAAACACTACGATGCTCAATGCCTACAACCAAGCCTGGAACTTCCAAGCATACTTACTCATTCATTCATGTAAGCCAACAGTAAAGTACCTTCCTGGCACGAGGCTCCATGCTAGGTACCAAAGAAGGGTAGTGGGGGCAGAGCATAACCCAAAACATCCAGAGGTTTGCTAGTATCTAGATGTAGAGATAAAGAAGTCAACAGATACTTTTAAAACAGTTTGAGAAGTGTCATGTTTAGTCATCTGATTGCCTTGGATGGTAACAATTTAGATAATGATATTACCCATTCAAGGATGAAAAATAATATATGAAGAGAGGAGTCATACAGGCAGGATGTTTAATGCACGATGAAGAGTGGGGCCATAGCAGACTTTATGGGGGGAAATTGTCTCAGCCTGAAAGGGGTAAGAAATTACAGGGAAGGGAGCAGTTGTCTGAAGGTGGAAGAGGACATTCTATGCAATACTACCAGAATGAATGAATTAATTTATAAACAAAACATCAAGAAAAGGAAAACTATGTTGTTGTATAGCATTTCTTCCTGGTCTCAGAAGGGAAATTTTAACTTCACCGTACTTGTGAAATAAAGTACTAGACAGGGTGATATGTACTGTGCTCTGTGGTTTTCACATTGTGCTGTGGAAAATCCCAGCTATACAACCTGCCGCTGAAGAATGAGAAATGGTGGCTGAATCCCATCTGCTTAGCTTTGGTCTCTTTATTAAGCCATTTATTTTTCTGTTATTCTATTCAAATTAATTTTATTTCTTCAATTTGCTTGAAAGCTTCTTCTGTTTTTCTGTTTGGTTTTTCTTTTTCTTTTTTTTTTTTTTTGGTACTGGGGTTTGAACTCTGGTCTTTGCGCTTGCAAGGCAGGCCACCGAACCACTGAGCTAAATTCCTGGCCCAGATTGAAAGCTTCTGAACAGCAGAGAACAGATTGTCTTTTGCATCTCCCATTCTGTGCATATTGATTCATAGTGATTTGGAGATGAGTGATCCATAGGTAGAGGAATCTTTTGTTTGTTTGTTTGTTTATTTTATTATCCTTATCACAAGGTACTCTTTTTAAATTAAGACACGTTGCTTCTGTGACTGTAGATTATTTGGTAATGGTTCATTTTGGGCTTACTGGTGATGGGTGTCTTACTTTTTTCTTGCTTAGGACCTTCCGAGTTATTGGATATGACAGACAGCGAAACGTGAGTGTTGCCTTTCATTACATCGTCTAGAATATTTCCCTCAGAACATTCTAGAAAGATCTAGTCTATACAGCATGTCAAGTAATTTTAATTTTATTGGTTATAAAGTTCACTTTCAACTGTCTTTATAGCTCTGCAGGGCTAATCCGCTGAATAACAAATTATATGATATAAAATGATGACAGACCCGGGATTTAGCTCAGTGGTTCCTCCACCTGCCTCACAAGCACAAGGACCTGAGTTCAATCCCTGGTACCAAATATACATAGTCTCACATGTATGCTTAATGTATGCTTAATGCTAGTCATGATTTAGTCTTCCTATGAGCAAGATCCTTTTACACTGGTGCATCTTAGACTGCTGAGAATTTTAAAGAAATACATTTCCCTTTACATACACTCACCGCATTCATTCTTTCTCATCTGCGGTCATTATGAACATGAAGGCCTGATGCCCTCGGGCATCCTTTGCTCTTAGTGTCATAGCTTGTGTGTTACTCAGAAATGGAGGAGATACTGTGTATGTCACCATTGGAGAACACAGTGCTCAAAGGACCTTCAGCTCTGGGAAGGTCCCTAAGTTGATAATGTTCGACTTTAAGTTCCTTTTTCCTCTGTCGACCATGTCGCTACCTTGCCACCCTCAGAAATAAGGAAAGGCCAAAGAGCTAACTCTGACAGCCATATAGGAACCACAGGAGAATTTCAGGGAAAATTGAAAAGGGATAAAAAGATATGTGGGGCTCAGAGGCACAAACTGGTGAGCAGATAATAGGCAGTGAGCAGAAGGAGGAATGGACAGAACAGAGGACCTGTGGAGACAGTACATGGAGGGGACATTGCCCTTCGCTCTGTAGAGTTGGTCCACATAAAGAATCTTCCATTGTCACAGGGGCAAGTGATTTCATCTCTTATCCAGTCTCCCTGCAAGGGTTACATTTGATTTTTCATAAAACACTTTAACATTAAGTTTATTTCTACTTTGGGGCTCAGAATGGGAATATTCTCTCTAGACTGCTTGTCAGGGATAGGGAAATGCATACTTTTCCTCATCTCCTTCTCACTGTGAGAGGCTGGCCTCCGTCCAGCTGCCCATTGGGAGGACTTGGGCTGTGAACTCTGGAAGAGTCTCCCAGAGCCTCCATGGTGTTCTGTGGGCACTCCCTCCTAGATCCCACAGCGAGTGTTGGCCTCCTTCTTTGCAGTTAAGTTCCTAGCAGATATTCTTCTCAAAGCCAGGTGGTGTCTACCAGGTTCTGTGAGGTGTGCGAGCTGGCAGTGGACCTGTGTACTGTGCTGAGTGTTTTTCATGCTTTGCACGAAGGGATGCACAAAGAGAATCATTTCAGTGTTTGGTGCAATCGCTGTATTTCATGGCACCCTTCAGTTTATCCAAATTCAAACAGTAGTAGTTTAAAAGCAACATCACTAGGCTTAATCAACCTGTGCTGAGGCTGGTTCGTTGATGAATAACTAAAGGTATACTTGGAATTTCCCTTGCCAGTCTCCCTAAAATGTACCCTGAGTACCCAGTTCGAAACAGGGTAGGATGAGTCCCCTCGCCGCCCCTACTGCTTCTACCCCCATGCCCGTCCTCACACCCTCTATGGACAGTTTCTTCTCATCTTCTCTTTGATTTAGGGGTGAGACAGCACTACACAAGGCTGCTTGCCAGCGGAACCGGGCCGTGTGCCAGCTTCTGGTGGATGCGGGAGCATCTCTGAGAAAGACAGACTCCAAGGTAACTGGCTGGGCGAGCACAAGCATCCTTCCCTGGGCAAGATCACAGGCCCCGCTGCCTTTGCTTGGCCCACAGCACAGGCATCCTTTCTTTGCTCATGGAAGTGCCTGAGGACCTGGAAAAAGGAGGAAAAAATAGTTGCTTCATTTAGAGAAACTGCAGTTTAAACGTATAAGCACAAAGGGAAGCACATAGAGCACTTGCCTATGGTGCTTTATAAAGTCCTGCATATGGGGCCTTGGGACCGTGGGGTTGTCTGCTAACACAGTGCATCTGGATATGAGATCTAGAGCCCTAGGAGAGGTGTCTGGACCGTGTTGAACGACATTGGCTTGTGACTGAGAAATCCCTTTGGGATCCCTCTTTCAGTACTGAATCCGATGTGCTTTAGAAATCTATGATTTATGAGGCTCCATATACAGATGCCAGAGTGATTTGACTTCTCAAATGGTCGGCCCTAGCTTCAAGATGGTTGTGATCTTAAATTTGCTGTACTTACATAGGTCTGTGTTTATCTTTTGTTTTTAAAAGGGGTTTTTCCCCCATTTGCTTCCTTGAATTAGTTCTGAAAAATTAACCCCAGAAATCCACAGTGTGGGAATTACTTTCACTGACTGTGCAAGAACAGAAACCTGAAGAAGGTTGAGTTTGTCCTTGGCCTTGCTTATTTAATATTCAGCCCGGTGGAGTGACTGGTCTCCTTTGGTGACAGAATCCTCCATTGCCCCAGCAGGATATACTGTGACAACATAGAAACAAGTTGGTTTTTATGTGTGGTTTACATAATGGGTTTTGTTGCCACACAGTGATACTTAGGGCCTATGGCTTGAAATGTCGTAACTTCCTTTGCAGCAAAAGTTACATAAATCAGGATCCAAAGTGTGTAGATGTCTTAAATAGGCAGTGAGGACAGAAGATGTTAGTGTGACATACATGCCGGCCTTGAAAGTACCCATAGGAAGGGGTATGGCCCTATTCAACTGAATAGTTAAGGAGAGCTGGTATTGGGCTGTGTAGGGGGTTAATTCAGTTTACAGAGGACACCCAAGAGAAAGGGTTGACAACAAAAGGAGGAGCTGGAATGTAGTAGAGTTGACCTAGGACTGAGCCTGGGAGAGGTGGGGAGACAGGAGATGGGGATTTTATACAGATGACCAACACTTTAGAGGCTTTTAATAAGCTCTAAAAGTTTCGGAGCACCCTGGGTAGACTCCAAGAGCCAACCACTCACTCAGATGTAGAGGCTTGCAGAGAAGAATTTTAATGTGTAGATGGGCTTTCATTAAACAGGCTCTGAGCAACTGAGGTTTAGAGTAAATGTCTGTGGCCATGACCTATCAGTATATAATTTAGAAGCCTAATCAATGACTTAGGTTCCATTAGACTCTTTTAAGTGATGAGACTCTGCCTGTGTGCAATGTTGTACATGGAAACTCTTGAGTCTGTAACACACATTGTAAAGTAGACCTCTCTCTCCTTCCTAAATGAGTTGTAATGCAGGGGTTCTCTGCTCTCTGGAAGCTCCTGTTCCTCCCTAGGCCTATCAGACACATTTGAGCTGTGTCCTGATCTGTCATGCTCCTGTCTAATTAGCTAAGTATATTACTGCATTCAGATGCTTGGATGTTGAACCTAATTGAGAAGCATGCATGTCACAGGCAGGATCAGTCCAGACCATGTTGGGTAGGGTGGGGCTGACTGGAGCTGCTGAGAGCACAACACAACAGCTGCCCTGTTCCTCCATCCAGCTCGGACAGTGAGAAGAAAGGGAGGCAACATAGGCAGTGGAAGGAACTACAAACTGGCTGGTGAGCAGGTCACCTCTTTTTCTCTGTCTCTGAATCAAGTAAATGGGCTCAAGTTTCTTTAAGATTTCTATTTTGTCTCATGTATGTGTGTAGTACTTTTTTGAAATTCCAAATGACTTTATTATTTTGTCGCTATGCATATAATGTGTTCTCACAGAGAAAGTCAGCAATATAGAAAAACATCTGGAAATCTTGCAGTCTAGAAATAAATACTATTAAACATTTTTTAATGATCATGCTTCACATGTAGAGATTTCTATTTTTTAAAACCAGGTGAAGTCATAGTTTATATGCTATTTATAACAAAAGTTTTCAATTAATATGTTCTAAAAATCTTTCCATATGAAGTAATATAGATGTGCCTCATTTTTGTTTAAAGATTCTTTAATGTTACCATTCTGTAATTTATTGTTAAGTTAAAGGTGAACTTCCAGATTACTCCTGGAATCTCGTTTGGATTTTTAAAAATAGAAACAACATCCTCAGAAATTTTTCTTTTTGAAGAAGAGTTTCTTAAAAATCAACTCAGGTCTACTCAAGACTACCTGTCTGAATGGTTTGAAGCCAGGAATATTAGCCTCAATATCATTGTGTTAAAGACAAGGGATTATCAAAACTGTAAAAAAGTTCGATAAAAATTATTATAGGAACCTTAAGATAGTGGTTAAATATTAAGTCCTGACTACATAAGTAAAAATTCAGGAAGTGTCCACAGACATTGTTGCTTTCCTTTTTCCCACCAGCTGAGATACCCCATTAGGCTTCTTGGAGATGGTTGAACACTTGAAATCAACAGCATACACTGGGATATCTGAGATAGAAACTAGGAAGTCACTGATAATTTTTTTTTAAATCCATGTGTACCTGAGGCTGTTCATTTGCTATAATAATTACACCTTAGAACATAACTTCATATCTATCTATCTATCTATATTATCTGAATACAAATTAGAAGTTTCAAGGGATGTTAAGTAATACCTGCAAGCATTTAAAATAATAGATATTCTCAATGGAAACAAAACTTTTGTGCATAGGAAGGGAGGGGGCTTTGGGAGGACTGGGATAAAATAAAATAAAAAATAAAAATAAAGAAGAATACACATTCTCCCTTCCATTACTGCTGACTTCTATTCACTGCTCTTCTTTTATTTATTTTTTGGTACCGGATTGAACTTGGGTCCTTGCACTTACAAGGCAGGCCGCGGAACCACTGAGCTAAATCCCGGGCCCAACTGCTCTTATTTTAAATATATCAAATTTATAGTAAAGATATATGTGTGTTTGTAGGTACAAATGTGCAAAAAGTATTATACTAAGCTATAAGAAATTATATGATAATTTAAAATATTGATGCACAAGATTTAATGACAAACTTATATTAAATGGAGAAGGTCATATAACAATGTGTAAACAAGGTATGATTTCATTTTTACAAAAATAATTATGTATAAGATAAAAATAGTTACTAAGTAGAAGGTTAACAGTGGGTTTTTTTAGTTTACTGGGATGATTGGGGATTTTTATTTTCTTATTTGTGCTTTTCTGCTTTCCTAAGATTTCCTTAATTAATATCCATGACACTATATTTAGAAATTAATTTTTTGAAGATTCATGTATTTTTTTAGTGATAAATTGGGGAGAATGTAATAGGAGACCTTGAAACCAACAAAGGAAACTTCTCAGATTACTGGCAACTAACCCTTCCTCACTTTGTGCTGGTCATTTCTCAGAGTTTAGTATGATAGAATTCTAAACTAGAAATGTGAATGCTTATTTCCGTAGTTTTCTTATCAGTTGTCTTCTCTTTCCCTTTCTTCTAAAAAAGATCTGGGTTCTAAAATTCACTGTGCCACTTTTGAAACTCTGTGCAGGAGTTTCAAGAGATGTGAATCCCACCTGTCTAAAATGATACTCTTTATCCCACCATTCTTATATGGTTGCTATAATGTTTGTTATAAAAATAAAATAGATTTGAAAATAACTTGTAAATTTTGGAAAATCAAACATGGGGGACCCTCATTAGTGAGTAGTCTGGGTACCTCTGCTTCTGTGAGAATAGGAGTTGAATGTATATTATCTCACTCCAAATATGTGTGTCTCTTTCCTTTTCACTGTTACGAACAGGGTAAGACACCGCAAGAAAGAGCACAGCAGGCTGGGGACCCAGACTTGGCTGCTTACCTAGAAAGCTGCCAGAACTATAAGGTCATCGGCCATGAGGACCTGGAGACTGCTGTGTGACCCTGGTAGATGGACAGAGCAAACATGAGCAAGCATATCACCTGCGCCCTCCCGGCCACTGGGCAGCTCCTGAGGATGAAGTTGATGGAATCCATATGTCTCTCTTCTGCAAGAATCTCTGAGACCATGCCACCAGTTTTTAAGGGCTACCAGGATGTACAACAGAACATGATAGCCCATTGAGAAGGAGGCAGGCTACCTGGAGATTTGTGGAGTACAAGTTCCACAAAATTTGATCATTATTGCTTCCAGCAAGTAGCATGAACTTTTGTGTTCACCCGTATAATTTATTTTAAAGATTCAAAGGATGTTTGTATAAATGGCACTGTTCCCTCCTCCCCTTACGCATCCATCTTTCTCCTTTACCACACAATTCTACTGTAATTACTCATCAACCTAGAATTTATGACATTATCTCTTCTTTTTACATTCAGTCTTTGAAGACCACAAGATTGTCTGATGGTCTTTTAAAACCCTCTGGATGTCCTGCAGAAATATAATTGTAAAACTATTTCCAAGACTAAATAGAACAAGACCACTCAGTGACTCTTTGCATGTCCTGCCCCCACCCCCCCACCCCTGTTTTATTATGCAGGAGCTGGGAAGTGCCTCACAGCTAATGTCAACTGTGTGTTCTATCTCTGAGGTCTCGTGAGGTGGCATGGGAGCTGTGCTTGGAGGTACCTCGGAGAGGTTACCCAAGGTTGGCCCAGACAGCCGGGCCATTTCTGAGAGCCATGCAGGACCAGTTCAGCTTGGGCTGTTTGTACAGCTCTGTACTGCCTATGTGTAGCCATCTTTGCCTTTTGCTGCAATAGAGATGAGCAAAGGATTAGACAAAGGCCCATAGCTAGTCCACTCAGTTTTAAGTGCTGTTTAAATTATAGGGCAGAAGCCTGTGTGGAAACTGTGGTTACAGGAAGTGAAGCACTCTGATGAGATTTATATCTAGTCTTGTTGAATGATAATAGAAAGAAGGCTAATCAATTCTGGGGGGGAAAACAGCAAAAGCAAAAGTAGCAGCATATGTTAAGATAATACACTTGCCAAGAAGCAGTTGGAATTTTACACAGAAGCTAATAACCATAGACTCTTGGTTATCACGCTGAGTCTTCATTGTGGGTCTTCCTTCAGATTTTTGGTTTTCATTATCTCAAAGATTGTTGGACCCAATGACCAAGTCCTGTTTAATGAATCCCACTGCCAGATATTCAGGTTACCTGGCTCTTTTTAATGGGCGCTGTACCTATTGCTTTTCAGCTTCTAGGGTCATGTCTGATAACTCCATTTTCCATGGAGGGGCTAGTCTAATATATTCCTTTCTTGACTTTGTTTTTCCCTATCAGAAATTTCTTACTGCAAACAATATAAAAGTCTAACCAGCAATCTCTTGTCTGGTTAGTGGACTGGCACTGTCTAATCATGCCATGGATCTGATGGTACTTGGTAAGAACTAAAATATGAGGAGGAAAAATATTCTTTTCGTCCTAATATTGATTGAGTATAAAACGAAAATAAAAGTGAGTTTCTAAGGGTTTTGCTTTTTGGCTAAATCTGATGTCTCCTGAGCTTCCTTCTATTTTGCTCTTGGACACAGCAAAATCATTTCCCTATTTTTTTCTGCATGTGGCCGTATATGATAATTTCTCTACATTTAATTTAAAGGCCCACTAGTGACAACACTGTTTATCTGAATCACATGTCGGTTGCACATCATAATTTTGAAAGTGCAGATATGATACACTATGTTAAGTTGGAACAGCTTTTCAGGGGATGGGGTTTTATGATGACAGCCTCTCCATAGTTGCTTTAAACTCAAGTCGTTGGCATCATTTCCAGCTGTGGGAGAAGCAGCTGGTTATGAGTCATCTGTTGCCATATATCAGTTGCAGGACTGGAACTCTTTGTTAGATTTTACAGTGAGGGAATGAGAGAGTGCAGTAGATTGTTTCCAGAAGCTGGGAAAATATATAGTCCAGGAAAATTTAATCTCTGGGATTCTGCTAGGAGTTTTTTAGTTGGTGGGACTGTCAAGGAAATATTGTGATGACAGGAATGTAATATGATCCTTAGAGCAGACTGGAATCTGGCTCTGAATGGGGCCTCCTAGCCTCTGGATTGAGCCAAACACTTGGCCTAGCAGTCAGTTACTCACTGCCACTGCTGGGACAAGGAACTCTGGTTTCACTAATGACTGTGTTGCATTTCTCTGTGAATGCTTCACAGTAACCAGAGGGAAAATTTGGAGTAGAGGTGGCTGTGTGCCAGTGTATAACTACTGAAACAGTCCTGGTGCATCTGAAAATGGTTCAAGAAAAGGGAAGAGAGCAATTAGAGTCCGTACATTATTGATGGATAACAATACATGATCTATCTCTTTGGAAGAGCAAACACCTGCAGGACAGACTGACGCTTTTCAGAATGGAAGGGAGGGAGGGGGGGAGGAAGAAAAGAGAAAAGAGCACAGAACAGCCACATATTTAATGTTGTCAGCATCAAATCTACCTCCTGTAGCATTTTTAATTGGTTGCTCTGTGTGACAGCACTGGGCTTCAGAAAGAGCCAAGACCATAGGTCAAGGAGTTTCCATTTCAGTTTAGGTAGATTGTATCCCCTTTGGTAGGCTATCAAGAGATAAAAAAGCCAATGCTCTGCTCCTGGTCAAAAACTCACATAACTTTAACAGGCACAGACATCTGCACCTGTAGAAAAATCATTTTCCCAAAGCCGGCTGGGACATTGTGGCCCGAAGCGGCAGCCTTGCTGGTACTCCTGAGTGTGGTCTTTCCGGCTGCAGCAGTGCCTGCTTTGGAGATTCCACTTTTGCATCAGGCTAATACAGGGATGGAAGCTGAAGAGTTATTAGAAGATAACATTCTATATAACCTTAAAGATATCCATAATTGCAAGCATAAATTCTGCTATTCCACTATTGATGAAATAGAACATAATCACTGTGGATTTATCACATTTGAGGACTCAAAGAACAGGAGAAGATTAATAAGCAAAGAAGGAACTAAACACAGCTGGAAATTTTACTTTGAGACTTCTGGTTACCTTTATAGAGATAATGACTGAAAACCAGGGCAAGTTCTGAGACAGACTGAGACTGACAAAAGTAACAACTACTGGAAAACCTGAGATGCCCCACTGCTTCACCTCTGTCCCAGTGGCTCCTGTGCAGAACTGTGTTATGTGACATTCAACAGGTAGTTCGTTTTCATCTGGATGTAGCAACAGACCTTTCACCGGAAGAATCTCGTTTGCTAGAATCTTAATTACCTTAGCAAGTGTGGGGCAGCCATTTCGTTTCTTTATGTTGTCAATTTACTAACGATATTTAGAATTTTTTTAGTTATGAAACAAGCACAGGCCTTTTACAAAAGGTTCTAATGCCACAGATGAGTACCACCTGCAACAGCACAGCACCCTTTTGGGCTGGTGTCTTTTCTCAGTCCTTAGAGATAAATGCTATTAACACTGATAAACATGGTTGTTTGTATGTTGTGTTAGAAATACACCATTCATACTCATGTGTGCATGTAGATGTGTATACATACATATTCACACATTCATATATAGAAATATATTTATTTGTATACATATGTGTATATATACTGCATATATATTGCATAGGTTTAAAAAAGAAAAACATCTTAGAAGCATGCTTATCATCTATGTATGTTTAGTTAGCCCCAGCAAAACTAGGTATGGTAACAATTTTCATTTGAGTTTTGATTCCACCATCACTAAATTTCATTTTATCACTGCATTGCTACCACAGGACATTTGTGGTAGCCTGTGTCATAAAATCCATGACCAAGAGTCTTGTCCTTGTGTATGTTGCATTTCTCGATGCATGAAACCTACCTTTGCTGTAAGATTGGTCCATCCTGCTTTTGGTTCTCAAGTAGAAAAAAGAGAGTTCTTTCCTCTGTGACTTTCAGACCACTCAGTAGGTTGTCTAATGATAACTGATGAGGACAAGCTACTGTAGGGAAGGGGCGTTATGTGGATACGGTCTGGAGTCTGGGTGGCCATCAGTCATCTCTTGTTACACTAATTTCTAGCTATGATGACAGTCCTCTTCTTGGATGAATCCTGCTAATATTTTAGTAATTGTGTCCTACAACTGCCAAGATCTTCTTTAGATATTATGATCGAAATGAATCACAATGACATTTCTCCCTGGAGCAACTGTCCATGTTGCCCAAAAGACAAGCAAGTGCATTGCCACTGATTTGGTCATCTTATGGGTGAATAACAAGCTTGGTTCTGAGAAGTAATCTAGGAGGTTTAGCACATTTCTGTCCTAATTACATAAGAGGTGACCATCATCTGGTGATATAAGCAATATGCCCCCTTGACATTACCTGTATGACTGCTTCTATATGTACCATATCATGAGGGCTTCTGTGGATTTTAGGCCATCTTTCCACAGTTTAATGAGAAACAGAAAAAAGAAAAAAATAAATAAGCAGGGACTAGTAAGTAGTACCCTGGACAACTTACTCTCTCATGACATTGAGAGTCATTAAAGTGGTCCCAAAAAGAAAGCAGAAAAATATAATTATTAGGCTATGAAAAAAAATAATTTAGACTAGAAATTTGAATTTGGGAGATGTCTCGATAAATCCCAGAGTATGTTTATACATGCCTGCAGTCAGTGTGCATGCAATCATATGTTCATGAAATGATCATAATTGCATGTAATTTATCATTTTGGGTACAAGGGATCAAACTCGGGTCCTTGCGCTTGCGAAGCTGGTGCTGGAACCACTGAGCTAAATCCCCAGCCCCTGTAATTAATCATTTTTAATAAAATATTTGTCACTGTGATACAGCCACCATTCTAAGGGCATAACAATGAATGCAATAGACAAAACTCTTGATTTCAACAAACAAGCCATCAAGTAAGCATGACAAATTCCAATGAGACAAGATCTGTGCATGAGAACTCCACAATCTACTGGAAGTACAACTAATGTGTTGTATTTGTTACTCATTGGTCAGCACTATTTTAGTTCTATGAAAACAACTTCAACAGGTCAAGAAATAATGATATTTTGCATTTTGGTTTTGTTGGTGTTGGTAATGTGCTTAATAATGTATTTGAAATGAAGACTTTAAAATGAGACTTTGAAGCACTACTAGAGTAAGTTCTAAGACTCATTTATCACAGATCTCAAGGACAAAACTAGAGATGATGAGCAGAGTTTGAAGTGAGTTTGGATTAAATATAAAAATGAAGTATAAATTGCCACAGAGTGCAGTGAGACTCCTTATAATCTCATAAATTATTAGCTCATGGGAGCATCTAAGGAGAGGATACAAGACCATTTTTAGTGTGTTTTTATTAGCGAAGTGTGATCTCAGGGGGCTGAAATTAGATCTCTTGTTTTCTTTAAATTTTATTTTTAAAATTCCTTTGTTGAATTGCAGGATTTCATTTTAGAAAATAATAAAACCCTTGATTTAAAAAAAATCTTTAGAACATTATTTTATACACAAGAAGCTGTAAAATCTTAGAAGGAGTGTCCCTTTCTTATCATTTAATTATTTTAAAACCACCTGAGCGTGAATTTAGTAGCTAGCAAAATAAAAACATATAAATAGGTTAACTTAATTCGAAATAATTCTGGAAGTGTTATGGATTTTGACGAATATTCATAGACATTTTCAAGTAAAATCCTATTAGAAATCTGTCCAAGATGAAAAAGTGCTATGATTTGTAATTTACTAGAGTTCAGTACAGTCTCAAAAAATCACAGAAGAAATTTCTAACTACAAGATGAAGATCTTTAGAAACTAAGCCTATGTACATAAAATACAGTAATGGGAAATACTCTGGCTTCTGCTACCAGTTTGGTAATACAAGGAAAGACCTAACCATGGAAGTGGCAAAATACTGTATCAGTCTTTCTCCCATCTTCAAAAATTCCAACGTCTACAGCCAAATGACATCTGAAATGAAAGCCTTTGGTAGCAGCCTCTATAGAAACTATCTTGTTTCTCAATCCTTTACTGAAGCATACAGATAACTTTCAATATAAAGTATTTATTCTTCAATATAAAGTATATAAAATATAGCTTAAACAACCAAAATCTATACTGTTTATTAACAATCTCTATAATATTAGTTGGTATTTCAAAGCATTTTTTACATTTTTGAGCTTTGATACAACCCCATAAAGTGCACACTATAGTCAATGCCTTCTAAATGAATTAACTGAATCTCAGAGCCCTGAATTCAACTTGTGTAGTCACATAGCAGGGGACAAAACTGCAGTTAAAACTGAGGCCTTTGGAAATTATAGACCAACATGCCTAAAATAGGTGTCGTCTAGGTAAATAATTTCCACCATTGCTTATATTTATTTATTTTTCTCATTGAGTCCCATAGCAACAGTGGTTTAGAACTGAGAGAGAACATGAAATAAAAGAACTCAAGAATTTTTATTTTCAGTAGGGGATTTAGCTCAGTGGTTCCGCCGCCTGCCTCGCAAGGACAAGGACCCGAGTTCTATCCCTGGTACAAAAAACAAAACAAAACAAAACAAAAACCCAAAACATTTTATTTTCAGAAAGAAGCTTACCAACTTAGATAGATATATTTCAAGGGCAGAAAGGCCAAGGTTTGGAAGCTGTTGTAGATATCATGAGAAGAAATTAACACTGAGGTTTTAGTGGCTCTTCTGCATAATTTATGACTGTCAACATTTAAAAGCTATGACTACTGTTTTCCCACCTTGGAAAGGCATTGGAATGATATTATTTAGTAATGTTGCACAGAAGATTTTGAGGAAGTCCTGCTGTTCCACACTATTACTGTCCTGGGGTGGATACACAAGGGAAGTTTATCATACAGTCACATAAGTAGAGCTCTAAATCACTTATGGGAAGTGATGTTGTATTGAAGTTAAAAGAACAGACAATATTCTCCCATTCTAAATCTCATATTTTATCAGGTGAACATGTAGAACATGTAGTAGATTGGTGAACATGTAGAAGAAGGTGCTTGGTGTGGAAAAAAGATAAGATTGTAAGACTGAAGACAGAAGGTTAATCAGCACTATTAGATTCAAGTGCTACAGAGCAGATGATTTGTGCAATAAAAAATGACAACAGAAGAACAGACATTAAAATTAGGTAAAATAATCTACATTATTACATAAGAATTAATTTTTTTCCTAAACATCGCATCAAGAAAAATTGGCCTTCCTCGAAAAGGGTATGCTTACCATTGCTAGATTTTTTCTAATATATATA